ATAGTGTATAGTAGTGTAGTGTATAGTAGTATAGTGTATAGTAGAGTAGTGTATAGTAGTGTATAGTAGTGTAGTGTATAGTGGTGTAGTGTATAGTAGTGTAGTGTATAGTAGTGTAGTGTATAGTAGTGTAGTGTATAGTAGAGTAGTGTATAGTAGTGTAGTGTATAGTAGTAGTGTATAGTGTAGTGTATAGTAGTGTAGTGTATAGTGGTGTCGTGTATAGTGTAGTGTATAGTAGTGTAGTGTATAGTAGTGTAGTGTATAGTGTAGTGTATAGTAGTGTAGTGTATAGTAGTGTATAGTAGTAGTGTAGTGTATAGTAGTGTAGTGTATAGTAGTGTAGTGTATAGTGTAGTGTATAATAGTGTAGTGTATAGTAGTGTAGTGTATAGTAGTGTAGTGTATAGTAGTGTAGTGCATAGTAGTGTAGTGTATAGTAGTGTAGTGTATAGTAGTGTATAGTGTAGTGTATAGTAGTGTAGTGTATAGTAGTGTAGTGTATAGTAGTGTATAGTGTAGTGTATAGTAGTGTAGTGTATAGTAGTGTATAGTGTAGTGTATAGTAGTGTAGTGTATAGTATTGTATAGTGTATAGTAGTATTGTATAGTGTATAGTAGTGTAGTGTATAGTAGTGTAGTGTATAGTAGTGTAGTGTATAGTAGTGTAGTGTATAGTAGTGTAGTGTATAGTAGTGTATAGTGTAGTGTATAGTAGAGTGTAGTGTATAGTAGTGTAGTGTATCACTATACACCACTACTATACACTACACCTATAGAGACACATAGACCCATAGAGATACACCCAGTGGCCGGCTGCTCCAACCGGGGTCCCACCCCCAATTCCCCGCAGCGCTTCTAGGCAAGCCGCGTAGGGCCCGTAGGAGGCCTAGTTCGGAAGATTTTTTTAAAGTAAAATTTAAACAAAAAAAAACGGAAAAACCGGACGGGCGTGGCTCCAGGGTACGCGCTTAGTCGTTTTTAAAGTAGCGGGTGGCTTAATTTTATTTAAAATGTTGTGAGGAGAGTTGTGGTTTTGGGGGTCACGTGGGTTATCAGAGCGCGTTCACTCACATGGCAGAGCGCTGTCAGACCCTGCTGGTTGTTGGTGATGACGTCTTGAACATTAACATAATTTAAATCATTAACATAATTTATTCCAGGATGCATCGCAGTGATCACGATACTGACGTGAAAATTAACATAATTTATTCCGGGCAGGGGGGGGTGGTGTCGCGAATAGGGCGTTGATGTGACCCACGCTCTGATGACGTCAGTTGTTCGTGCGTGATGACGTCATGTTGGTCGTGCGTCATGACGTAAGGGGAAGTCTCTTCCTGATCGGTGGATGAGCGGCAGAGACATCAACACCACCAACAACATCACCACGTGACATCAACAACATCAACACGTGACATCAACAACATCACCACATGACATCAACAACACGACCAACATCACCACGTGACATCAACAACACCACCACGTGACATCATCAACACCACCAACAACATCACCACGCGACATCAACAACATCACCACGTGACATCAACAACATCACCACGTGACATCAACAACATCACCACGTGACATCAACAACACCACCAACATCACCACGTGACATCAACAACATCACCACGTGACATCAACAACATCACCACGTGACATCATCAACACCACCAACAACATCACCACGTGACATCAACAACATCACCACGTGACATCAACAACATCACCACGTGACATCAACAACATCACCACGTGACATCAACAACTCCACCAACATCAACACGTGACATCAACAACATCACCACGTGACATCAACAACATCACCACGTGACATCATCAACACCACCAACAACATCAACACGTAACATCAACAACATCACCACGTGACATCAACAACATCACCACGTGACATCAACAACACCACCAACATCACCACGTGACATCAACAACATCACCACGTGACATCAACAACATCAACACGTGACATCAACAACATCAACACGTGACATCAACAACACCACCAACATCACCACGTGACATCAACAACATCACCACGTGACATCAACAACATCAACACGTGACATCAACAACATCACTACGTGACATCAACAACATCAACACGTGACATCAACAACATCACCACGTGACATCAACAACATCACCACATGACATCAACAACACGACCAACATCACCACGTGACATCAACAACATCAACACGTGACATCAAACACATCAACACGTGACATCAACAACACCACCACGTGACATCAACAACATCAACACGTGACATCAACAACACGACCAACATCACCACGTGACATCAACAACATCAACACGTGACATCAAAAACATCAACACGTGACATCAACAACACCACCACGTGACATCAACAACACCACCACGTGACATCAACTACCATCACCACGTGACATCAACAACACCACCACGTGACATCAACAACACCAACACGTGACATAAACAACAACACCACGTGACATCAACAACACCACCACGTGACATCAACAACATCACCACGTGACACCAACAACATCACCACGTGACACCAACAACATCAACACGTGACATCAACAACATCACCACGTGACACCAACAACATCAACACGTGACATCAACAACACCACCACGTGACATCAACAACATCACCACGTGACATCAACAACACCACCACGTGACATCAACAACATCAACACGTGACATCAACAACATCAACACGTGACATCAACAACATCACCACGTGACATCAACAACATCAACACGTGACATCAACAATATCACCACGTGACATCAACAACATCAACACGTGACATCAACAACATCAACACGTGACATCAACAACACCACCAACATCACCACGTGACATCAACCACCATCACCACGTGACATCTACAACACCACCACGTGACAACACCACCACGTGACATCAACAACATCACCACGTGACATCAACAACACCACCACGTGACATCAACAACATCAACACGTAACATCAACAACATCAACACGTGACATCAACAACATCACCACGTGACATCAACAACACCACCACGTGACATCAACAACACCAACACGTGACATCAACAACATCACCACGTGACACCAACAACATCAACACGTGACATCAACAACATCAACACGTGACATCAACAACATCACCACGTGACATCAACAACATCACCACGTGACATCAATATCAACACCATCACCACCACCACCATCAAACCACCATCACCACCACCATCAAACCACCATCACCACCACCACCATCACCACCACCATCACGTAACATCACCATCACCCCCATCATCACCACCATCACCCCCACCACCACCTGAACCACCACCTCAACGTAACACCACCACCACAACCACCTCAACGTAACACAACCACCACCTCAACGTACCACCACCACCACCCCAACGTAACACAACCACCACCACTTCAACGTAACACCACCACAACCACCACCTCAACGTAACACAACCACCACCACCACAACGTAACACAACCACCACCACTTCAACGTAACACCACCACAACCACCTCAACGTAACACAACCACCACCACCACAACGTAACACAACCACCACCACTTCAACGTAACACCACCACAACCACCTCAACGTAACACCACCACCACAACCACCACCACCTCAACGTAACACCACCACCACCACCAACTCAACGTAACACCACCACCACAACGTAACACCACCACCACAACGTAACACCACCACCACAACCACCACCACCTCAACGTAACACCACCACCACCACAACCCCCACCACCACCGCCACCTCAACGTAACACCACCACTACCACCACTACCACCACCCCCACCATCACCACCACCACCCCCACCACCACCACCACCCCCACCACCACCACCACCCCCACCACCACCACCACCACCCCCACCACCACCCCCACCCCCACCACCCCCACCACCACCACCACCACCCCCACCACCCCCACCACCACCACCAACACCATCACCACCACCCCCACCACCACCACCACCATCACCCCCACCACCACCACCACCCCCACCACCACCACCACCCCCACCACCACCACCACCACCACCCCCACCCCCACCACCCCCACCACCACCCCCACCACCACCACCACCCCCACCACCACCCCCACCACCACCACCACCCCCACCACCACCCCCACCACCACCACCACCCCCACCACCACCCCCACCACCACCACCACCACCACCTCCACCGCCACCACCACCACCACCGCCATGGACCCCCGCCCATGCTGCCCCGCGTCTCCGCCGGCCTCGCCCGGCCTGGCGCCCGCCGCTCCCCGCAAGCTGCGCAGGAAACGCCGGCAGCTCGACGCCCTCGTCGGCATCGGCGTCGGCATCGGCCGTGACGACGAGGAGGCCGGCGCCGGCGCCGGTGGCGGCCGCCGTCACCACCGCCACCACCGCCGCCACCGCCGCTCCACCTCGTCGCTGGCGAGGTGCAGGGCCCGCGGGGGTCACGAGCTGCTGCTGAGGAGCGGGGACAGCCAGGACAGCCGGGACAGCCGGGACAGCCGGGACAGCGGCAGCAGCAGCAGCAGCAGCGGCGGTGGTGGTTGTGGTGGTGGTGGTGGTGGCGGTGGGAAGAGGAGGGGTGGTGGAGAGTGGAGAGGATTCGTGAAGAGGTTACGGAGCAAGTACGTCGTGGTGGTGGTGACGGTGGTGGTGACGGTGGTGGTGGTGGTGACGGTGGTGGTAGTGGTGGTGGTGGTGACGATGGTGGTGGTGATGGTGGTGGTGGTGGTGGTGACGGTGGTGGTGGTGGTGATGACGGTGGTGGTGGTGACGGTGGTGGTGGTGACGGTGGTGGTGGTGGTGATGACAGTGGTGGTGGTGGTGGTGACGGTGGTGGTGGCGGTGGTGGTGATGGTGGTGGTGGTGGTGGCGGTGGTGGTGGTGATGGTGGTGGTGGTGATGGTGGTGGTGGTGACGGTGGCGGTGGTGGTGATGGTGGTGGTGGTGGTGGCGGTGGTGGTGGTGATGGTGGCAGTGGTGATGGTGGTGACGATGGTGGTGGTGATGGTGGTGGTGGTGGCGGCGGTGGTGACGGTGGAGGAGGAGGTGACGATGGTGGAACAGGAAGTGGTGGAGGGGTGGACGATCCTCCGCTCGGGGCGGGAGACCGCCAGGCAACGGGGAGAGTGGCTCTCCTTCTGAACAAAAGAATGAAGGGGGCGTGGGAGCGTTGGCGGTGAGGTGTGGGAAGCTGTAAGCCCCAGGCTACTTTGGGCTCGCCTTCCCATCAACCGGAGGCGAGGAATGGTGGTCGTGGTTGCTTATGCCCCCACCGAAGATGAACATCCGTGGAGGGATGCAGGCAAAGCCGATGAGTCAGATGCCTTCTATGACCTCCTGTCACAGGTGCTGGCTAAAGTGGCCCCTCGGGATAGAGTCATCATGTTGGGTGACTTCAATGCACCGAGTTTGGTCATGATGCTGGCACCTGGTCTGGAGTGATTGGAGGGCATGGGCCAGATCAGCTCAATAACAACAGTAGGAGGCTGCTAGATTTGTGTGCGGCCCATGGGCTTGTAATTACCAACACGCTGTTCCGGCATCGGCGCATCCACACAACATCATGGATGCGTGCCGGGTCCAAGCAAGAACATCTGCTGGACTACATAGTGACGGACCAGCGGATGCGAGCCCCATGTCCTTGACACCAGGACCTACCGTGGAGCTGATCTGGTCTGGAGTGATTGGAGGGCATCAGCACAATAACAACGGGAGGAGGCTGCTAGATTTTGTCTCTCTCTCTCTGTGTGTGCGTGCATCCAGGACGCTCTGCTGCTGCTGCTGTTCCCGCGCTCCCTGGCTCCTGCTCCTGGCTCTGGCCGGGTTTTGCGGACTCGCTTGGCTCAGCTGGCTCATCACGGCGCTCCGAGCGGACCTGGAGCACGCCCAGGGACAGATACGGAGCCGTACGTGGGGGAGCATCGCTGGCTAGAGAGATGTTGACTACCTCGCCTGTCTCTGTGTCTGTGTGTGTGTCTCTCTCCCCGTGTCTGTCTCCCCCCGTGTCTGTCTCTCCCGGTGTCTGTCTCTCTCCCCGTGTCTCTCTCTCCCCGTGTCTCTCTCTCTCCCTGTGTCTCTGTCTCCCCGTGTCTCTCTCTCTCCCCGTGTTTCTCTTCCCGTGTCTCTCTCTCTCCCCGTGTCTCTCTCTCTCCCTGTGTCTCTCTCTCCCCGTGTATCTCTCTCTCTCCCCGTGTCTCTCTCTCCGTGTCTGTCTCTCACCGTGTCTCTCTCCCCGTGTCTCTATCTCTCCCCGTGTCTCTCTCTCTCTCCATGTCTCTCTCCCCGTCTCTCTCTCCCCGTGTCTCTCTCCCCGTGTCTCTCTCCCCGTCTCTCTCTCTCCCCGTGTCTCTCTTCCCGTGTCTCTCTCCCCGTGTCTGTCTCTCCCCGTGTCTCTCTCCCCGTGTCTCTCTCCCCGTGTGTCTCTCTCCCCATGTCTCTCTCTCCCCGTGTCTCTCTCCCCATGTCTCTCTCTCTCCCCGTGTCTCTCTCTCCCCGTGTCTCTCTCCCCATGTCTCTCTCTCTCCCCGTGTCTCTCTCTCCCCGTGTCTCTCTCCCCATGTCTCTCTCTCTCCCCGTGTCTCTCTCTCCCCCTGTCTCCCTCCCCGTGTCTCTCTCTCTTCCCGTGTCTCCCTCCCCGTGTCTCTCTCTTCCCGTGTCTCTCTTCCCGTTTCTCTCTCTCCCTGTGTGTCTCTCTCTCTCTCTCCCCGTGTCTCCCCCCCCCCCCCCCCCGTGTCTCTCTCTCTCTCCCGTGTCTCCCCGTGACTCCCCGTGTCTCCGTCTGTGTGTCCCAGTAGTAGAGGCCAATCAAGCCGCTGCCGCGGCTTCCTCACCGGGCGAGCTGTCCTCCCTCACCGCGGACGTGACGGCACTTAAACAGGAGGTACGGACATTGGGCGTTCGACACGGCGAGACACGCGGAGTGGTGAGTGACCTTACACACGCTCACCACTACGCACTCGCCACCACACATAATAAAAATAACAATAACAGCAGGATAAAATCCTCACGACGTTTCGGCCACAACGCAAGTAGCCTTCCTCAGGTGAGGGAACAGGACTGTTGGGAAGACAGCGCTGGAGGGAACCCTGCCAAGCATGGACAGCGTCTTTTAAGCTGTGTGGGAGGAACAGAGCGCCTTGACAAAGGAGTTTACATATCAATTAGCACGATGTTGGTGCGAGGGATGAGCACCACGCAGAGCGGCGAGCTTTGTTCAGACGGGACGAGTCCATCTACGTTCGGAACGGAGGAGGGGGGGAGAGGAGTTTACATATCAACAGTAGATTGGCATGTAACTGGGTGATTGGCATGATGTTGGTGCGAGGGATTAGTACCACGGAGAGCGGCGAGCTTTGTTCAGACTGGACGAGTCCATCTACGTTCCGAACGGGGGAGAGGAGTTTGCATACCGACAGT